AGTAGGGTTACATTGGGAGACAGATCATTTCAGGTCGCAGCTCCGGCACTCTGGAATGTTTTACCGCGTGAGATTCGTTCTATTACAGATCGAGGGATTTTTAAGTGCCATTTAAAAACGCACCTTTTTAAGGAAGCTTTTTATTAATTTTTATCACGAAAATTACTAGTATCTTAACGTGTATTGTATATTTCAATTTTATCCGAGTATATTTTAAATAATTATTAGTTAGATACCCTGCCATTAAATTACGGAAGCGTTTCATTCATTTTTATCACGATAATTACTAGTATCTTAACATATGTTGTATATTTTAATTTTATCATAGTATATTTTAAATAATTATCAGTTAGATACCCTGTGTTAAATTGCCATAGATAGAAATCATGTAATGCGCGCAATATAAGAGTTAGATTATTATTATTATTATTATTATTATTATTATTATTATTATCATTCCCCAATTCCCTTCTTCCTTACTTACTCACTGCTGATTATAAAGAGACAGTGAAAAGCTTACAAGCATGAGAAATTAAGCCATTTTATTTATCAAGAAGCGCTATATTAGTTATAATAATTGTAACATGTAAATGGTAAAACTGCAATTTACTTAGAATTTCCTGGAATGGAATTGGGTGAACTGAGGTGAATGATATTTTCAAGAAACGATTTACTCTAACTTTTGTTTTACAGAAAGATCACTGATACAGACTGAAAGTAGTATGTAAATTTCGGACGTAATGCTATGCAATACTTTTGCGATGGGTAAGAAAATCGTGAATGTGTGGCCGATTACGCTAAAATACAAAATTTCCGTGTCCGTCATCAGGCTTTGTCTTCCTGTTCGTTTATTCATGTAAGCTTTCCCTTTTTTTTTCCTTTGCTGTTCAGTAGCTGGTGTGAGACCGAGAGTAACATCCCACAGTTGAGTAAACCTTTTCCTTACCCAGATTCCCCTGGGTGCAGGACCGGGCTAATTCAATCCTGACCTCATTTCCCAATGTAGAGGGTAAATTCTCACGGATAACCATTGGAACTATCTGCCCCCAGCAAATTGCTATGCCCCAGCTGTTCTACTTCACTGGCGAATACTGCTCCAAGGATTTTGGATCTTTATATTTGATCATAGCCTCGTCCAGCGCCTGCACTTGATGAGAATTGTAATTCAACTTAAAGCTGATGTTCAAATCATTTAGGAATTCTTTTCCTTAAATAGTTTGCCTAAGTTGTTATCTCCACGATAGGACATTTTGGAGTTATCACCATGATGAATATTGTATAAATTTCAAGAAATCCGTTCCGAGCAATTATTCTCGAGAAAGCCGGACCACATAAAACCCGATCGGTTGACAAGTTTTCTCTCAAACTAGGCGCGCGGTGGATACTCATAGCAATTGGTAGTCTAAGAAAAACTTTCAACTCCGCCACGGAAACCTCTTTCCATGAATCTGGTTCCCTGCTTCTCTGTGCCAAAACCTGGTGCGCAAAGCGATTGGTTTCCCTTACAATAGTTCCCACAATGCAATTGTCCATGAAGAGCTGATGAAAATCGACAGTTAAACTGCCTCTTGCTTTTGCCGCGATCACGACGCAATTAACTTTAGGGAATTTGGGCTCGTGTTGAGCGCATTCGTGAGGCATCAAGCCACAAAGGGTAAAAAAGAACTTTGTGACCCATGTAAAACAGCCGAGCCCGAGGCGCGATAACACGCTCTTCGTAGCTCTTATAGCTCTTATCTCTGTAAGAATGGAAAATGCAAATAAATTTCGATTGGAAAGCTAACCATTAACTAACGTTTCCACTGCTTTAGGGGAAGTCGTCAACAAATTCATGCGATAAGTCGCTTTTCAGTCAAATGCTAATTCGCTGAAACTGATTGGACTGCCTTGCCTTGATACTGTTTGCGGTAAATCTACTAGAGCAGTGTCCATCTAATTCTTCTTGATCAATTTCGATTCATCGACAAATTAAGAGCGTTCGATTCAGTTCATTAATAAATGATCGAAAACTTCGTATAGTAAACGTGATAAAGGCAAAAGTAATACAACAGTTTCAACGAACCAGAATGAGACATTTGATTGAGGAACAACTCTTCACAGATTATTTACTTTTTACCAACTGCCAGTCACGAAATGAAAAGCTTATAAAGTCCGAAAAGACTGATTATTACTACAATAATTTCAAATGATTGGGCTTTTGGCCGATGTGACTCTACCACTGTTATTTTAAATTCGTTCTTCCCGTTTTGACGAAACATTATTACTGGAAAGTCGTAAGCTTGCGGATTGACAAACTGTCTTGTCTTAATTTTCTTAAACCAGAAAATTGATATCACATAAGTTTGACCACAAAATATATGGAAAACAAGGGGATGCACAGTGTCTTTGGTTCATTTAAACACGTGAGCGCATCTGTCATTATTTTGATAAAATGTAATTATCATTTTCTGGGTTTCCTATATTTTTTTCCTTACTGATCAAAATCATTATTGTGCTGCAGTGGAAAAGTGGTGACTCTATCAAAAGTTTTGAAAAGGTTTACGAAAAAATTAACGTTCTTTTCCCATTTTGTTTTCTCCGTGAATTCAGAAACGTAAGCTCCTTCAATATGTGTTATTTTCAAACATTTCTAAGTAGATTTAATCTGAGTCAAAGATTCTGTGTTATTAAAATTTTCGCGTTGAAGTGATAAGAGTTACACCCGAAAAAGTATAATTCCATTTAATACCCTTGTTTGACGCATACCTCTGTGTCACACAACCCTGTAAAACCAGGTGATGATGCTACAACCCTCAAAGTAGGATTGAACGAAATGCAAAACCTCAAAGGGGTGTCTGGACTTTTCGTTGATAAGGCAGAGTATGTGGTTTTAGGGCAGCTGTAACTCTGACCTTGCAAACTTTTAATATTAAGCGCAAACGCCCTTTGGGTTTTCAAAGAGAACAAAAGAAGTAGAAACTATTGAGCGCTAAAGTGAAATACGGTAGGTTTATCTACTCTGACTCATTTCGTAAAAGTAGCGTGTACAGGGTCAGTTGATCTATTTAAATTTTCGTTCAATTCTTCGGCAAACTTCTCGGTTAATGATGTGCTTTTCAGTGACCTGCGGAGTTATCATTAACATTTCACTTGAATCTCTATATTTAGCGTGTCTTGTCAAACAAAAGACGAGTAAAAAACACTACTCAGGTTTTCAAAGCATTGGCATAGCTGCCAACCTCTGTAATTTTTTTTTCTTTTTACCGAGGTAATTAGCAGAGGCCATTAACCCTTTCACTCCGAGAGGTGTGATGAATCTGTAACTTCTTCAAATCTTCAAACAGGTAATGAGAATACTCAATCTTATCAGACAGGTTTTATCAGACAGCGCGTATCCGGTCTCAGTTGTAGCACGTCACGTGTTTCAGACTAGAATTCACATGATGAAATAAGGTATGGGTTATTTAAGAAATGCATCATGATTCGCCGAAGACTGAATCAAAGAGAAAAAGTTAGTCTTATTCTGATTGGTTCTTGTCTGATTGGTTCTTATCGGGTATTTTTGTGTTGTTAGTGTGAAACTACTAATGCAATAATTACACAAACTTTTCCTTTTAAAATGATGGAAACACGACAAAGATTACACTCCTCCTGTCGTAGTTTCACCCTCGGAAATCTCGGACATATAAGGAGGTTGCACTAAACCAACCACAGATTGTGCTCCCCCCCTGACAACCAACAAATTATCGCTATTTCATGCTTCTCAGTAAAAGTTAGCATCAACAAACTGGGGCATTAGTTGCTCTCTATTCCAGCTATAAACATGGATATTAATTTCGTTAGGCACGATCAATTAAGATGGTACTGGGGATTCAATCTATCTGATCCTCTGTTTGAAGTTCTGGCTTAATCAAGGGAACTTACTACCAGGCAACAAGGGAAGTTTATCTTCACATCCACCTTCATTACTGTTCATCTACTGTTCGAACCTCTCTACAAAGTCTAACTTTGGAAGAAAGGAACGAAATTTTTGTCGTTAGGTAGCAGTTAATTGAGGGTACGTGCAGCGTGAATTCTGTTTTCTCTGAAGGGCAGAGCATTCTAACTTCTTAAAAAAAAAGAACAAAACAAAACAACATCAACAACAACACCAAGAGCAATTCTTCGGAAACCAAAAGCTCATGTTCAGAATAATAACAAAACGAAACGAGCTATTCAGAGTGATTACATACAAGTTTGCAGAACAGCTGTTTTTAGTTACACAGACATTTATTACGCCTTTGTATAACACTGTCAAGGATTGTGTGCCCGATTGATTTGTCACGCATTTTACTTTGTCAAACGTCCACTTAGTGATTAACTTATGGTCATGGAGATGTTATGCAGCATTCACGCAGCACCTTAGCGGCCTTTGCCTTGTGAAGAGTGTCAAGAGGGAAAAAGGCCCAAGTGAACTGTCATTCAGGGAAAAATAAAAATGTTCGGTGCGAAGAGGTGGTCGTTGTAGAGGGATGGCCGTCAGCGTTGGTTTGACCTTAGTTTCCTAATTTAGGAGGGCAGTTCTAGAGGTCGTGGGGTAAGGTGTGTGCCCAATCACAATGAGTTCGTGATCCCCACGTGCATCTGTCTCTTAGAAACAAAACGATCTACGTAATATTCAGTGACGTCCTCC